GCTTCCTATTGCTTAGATACTCCCTTATCCACTGGAGCACCTTACCAGTTACTCCTGCCTGTTTCTCCAGCTTATGCATAAACCTTTTATGGGGTACTGTGTCAGAGGCTTTCTGACTGTCCAAAAAAATGCAGTCCGCCCACCCTTCTCTTTCTTGCTTAATCTTTGTCACCTGATTGTAGAATTCTATCAAGCCTGTAAAGCAAGATTTACGCTCCCTGAAGTCACGAAGTGTCTTCTCTCCAGATGTGTGTATGTGTGTGTGTGTGTGTGTGTGTGTGTGTGTGTGTGTGTGTGTGTGTGTGTGTGTGTGTGTGTGTGTGTGTGTGTGTGTGTGTTTTGCTTAACCAGAAACGTACGAGCTCGACCAAAGCGCCTAGTCTATTAAGGTTGATGCATTGAAAACGTCACCATTACGATGTTTTAATTTTTGGTTAATATGTCGCATTTTTTACGGATGTGGTGAGTGTCTCTTATCGGCACTCTTAAGGTTGCCTCATATCTTTATCTGAACCTTCCTCTCTTCTGCTACAAGACTTGATAATGGTCCACGACGGACCGACACGTCGTCCTTTCTCCATCTTCTGATGTGTCGTTTGGTCACCAATCTCAAGGTTATTCAATCTCAAGGAGGTTCCCGGGACCAACGTCCCCGGGCCCGGTCTCAGACCAGGCCTCGTGGTTGGTGGTCTGGTCAGACGCCGCCGCTCGCAGTCTGACGTGTGAATCACGGTGTGATCAGATATCCTTCTGATACGTTTATCAAGTTGCCTTGTGGACACCGTGGAAGGTCAGTTAGTTACGCCTCTTATGTGTATATGAAGATGGAGAGAGTTGAAAAGTCTTGAGAAATGGTATGAATGTTTTTTACGGTTTCTTAAGACTTTATATACATTCTTTATGGTGTATTCTTCCCCTCAATGAACTTTCAGATCTCGTCCATCGCTTGTGACGGCCGCGGCTAGGAATTAGATGGTCAACAGTAGACACCCCGTGACCAAGGATGACGGGGCGTGAGCGGCAGTAGCCCTCCTACACCCGTCGTCTCCTTGCTCAAGTTGCCAAGCAACGGCAAATCACATTCCTCTTGATGCGACATCGTCTTCCCGGTATTGTTAATCGCTATTCTAATTGGCCGCCTTGACCAAATTAGATTCTTATTCGCAGAGACACGTGTGCTGCCCGTCTACCTTGAGTTTAATTGAGATAATTGAGAGGGAACTTATTCATGCCTGATGAAGACTCCCTACTGACTATTGACAAGAATTACCAACACACTACACTCGATTATGTTTCTTCTGGTCACAAGATTATACTCTAAATTAACGCAATAATAATATCAGCAAGTGTACTGAAGGTATCGCAGTGGGCTCAGTACTACTCAAGGCTGGAACACGGAGCCATGAGTCAAGGCGAAGGATGCAGTATGTAGTCGCAAGAGAAGATCTTTGTACCTGTATGACGGAATCGAATCAGCATCCTGGGTCACCCATGACGCTGGTTCGATTCCACAGACCTACTCCAAAGACTTTCTTATAGATATATCACGTTATCGTGATTTCGGGAAGTTGGGGAAAAGAATGGGGACGGGAGAAGACAGACATCCAGAAAGACATAGAGACAGAGACAGACAAAGCCAGACAGAGAGCGACAGAGACAGTGTGGGTCGTCCCAAGGACCGGCGGGTCTTCCACTTAGGGAGACCAGAGAGCGACAGAGACAGTGTGGGTCGTCCCAAGGACCGGCGGGTCTTCCACTTAGGGAGACCAAACACAAGACTGGAGGTGAGACGCTTGAGGTTTAGCCTCCTGCAAGTTTGCAGGGTAACTGGTGTGTGTTAGGTGACTGCCATAGGAGGGTCGGAGTCGGCCACACGGCGACCCTCACGAAATTGCTGGAGAGGAAATGGCAGTCGCCGAGTGCCCACAGCTTCATCTGTTCGTAGTATCCCAAATTTGAGATATTGTATTGACTTGAAAAACGCATGTTTTGATAGCAATTCAAATTTTGGGAATCCCAACACTTAAATGCCATAACCTTTTGCGGTAGGCCCGAGCACCGCTGGGAATCTCATACTAATGTAAGGAAAGCCACTTGAATCCCAGATTACTACACCCACAATATATTTATTATATATACATATATATGTCGGTCGCCTGTCGGTCGCCCAGACGGAATCACGGTGAACCCCTGGAAGAATGGTAGACAGTTGGTGTGGGACTACACTTGCGTTTCAACTTTAGCCAACACTTATGTTGACTTCAGTGCTGCACAAGCAGGAGGAGCTGCCAATCACCGGGAAGCGGCCAAGTCACGTAAATACAGAGACCTTGAGCACCACTACAATTTTGTCCCCATTGCCTCAGAGACACTTGGTGCCTGGGGTAAAAGTGCTCCTAGCTCTTTGAAGGAGTTGGGGTCTAAGCTAATCGAAACAACTAGAGACCCTAGAGCTGCCAGTTTTCTTTTTCAGCGCCTTAGTGTGGCAATCCAGAGAGGAAATGCTCACTGCATCCATTGTTCCTGCCCGCCATCTGAGGAGCTGGAGGAGCTGTTCAACTTGTGACAAGCAGCCTTGTACCCTGCATGTAATCAATATTGTAACTTTTTTTGTGTAATGACATTTTCAAATAAAGTTAGATATATATACACACACACCAAAAGAATAGGGGTGGTAGGAGAAGAAAATATCAAAGTGTTCAGTGAGGATCCACAAGGTCTTCTCTGAGTACTCTTTATTTTCTTCTCCGAGGCTATGGGTCCCTACACTTGCACCAGAGGTGGTACCCCTTCAAGTTTTTTTTTTATATATTATATATAATATATATATATATATATATATATATATATATATATATATATATATATATATATATATATATATATATATATATATATATATATATTGCTAAGCTTAGTTTATATTGTGGGTGTAGGAATCTGGGATTCAAGTGGCTTTTCCATGAGTGTAAATGCCTCTGCCACTTGAGGCCAAAAATGGCTGCCTGAGGCATAATGCAAGGCTCCCATGGTAAATGTTGACGTCTTAATGCGAACATTTTCCACAAGATTCCACACCTAAAATATCCAAACACCAGTGTGTATATACTGACATAATTGTCACACTCTGCTCCACTCTCTTCCACCAACACTTCCATATACATCTCCCGCACTCTCCACCTTTCCTTCCCTACGGTAGCCCGTTCCTCCTCATCTCTATACCTCCTGATACTTTCTCCCTCCCTCTCCATACCTGTCCCTCCTTCCCTATACCTCTCCCTCCTTCCCCATACCTCTCCCTCCCTCCCCATACCTCTCCCTCCCTCCCCATACCTCTCCTTCCTTCCCCATACCTCTCCTTCCTTCCCCATACCTCTCCCTCCCTCCCCATACCTCTCCCTCCTTCCCCATACCTCTCCTTCCCTCCCCATACCTCTCCCTCCCTCCCATACCTCTCCTTCCCTCCCCATACCTCTCCCTCCCTCACCATACCTCTCCCCTCCCCATACCTCTCCCTCCCTCCCCATACCTCTCCCTCCCTCCCCATACCTCTCCCTCCCTCCCCATACCTCTCCCTCCCTCCCCATACCTCTCCCTCCCTCCCCATACCTCTCCCTCCCCATACCTCTCCTTCCCTCCCCATACCTCTCCCTCCCCTCCCCATACCTCTCCCTCCCTCCCCATACCTCTCCCTCCCCATACCTCTCCTTCCCTCCCCATACCTCTCCCTCCCTCCCCATACCTCTCCTTCCCTCCCCATACCTCTCCCTCCCTCCCCATACCTCTCCTTCCTTCCCCATACCTCTCCCTCTCTCCCCATATCTCCCTCCCTCCCCATACCTCTCCTCCCTCCTCCCCATACCTCTCCCTCCCTCCCCATACCTTTCCCTTCCTCCCCATACCTCTCCCTCCCTCCCCATACCTCTCCCTCCCTCCCCATACCTCTCCCTCCCTCCCCATACCTCTCCTTCCTTCCCCATACCTCTCCCTCCCTCCCTCCCCATACCTCTCCCTACCTCCCCATACCTTTCCCTCCCTCCCCATACCTTTCCTCACTCCCCATACCTCTACCTCCTCCCCATACCTCTCCCTCCCTCCCCATACCTCTCCCTCCCTCCCCATACCTCGCCTTCCTTCCCCATACCTCTCCTTCCCTCGCCCTCCCTCTCCTTCCCTCGCCCTACCTCTCCTTCCTTCCCCATACCTCTCCCTCCCTCCCTCCCCATACCTCTCCCTACCTCCCCATACATTTCCCTCCCTCCCCATACCTCTCCCTCACTCCCCATACCTCTCCCTCCCTCCCCATACCTCTCCCTCCCTCCCCATACCTCTCCCTCCCTCCCCATACCTCGCCTTCCTTCCCCATACCTCTCCTTCCCTCGCCCTTCCTCTCCTTCCCTCGCCCTCCCTCTCCTTCCCTCGCCCTTCCTCTCCTTCCCTCCCCATATCTCTCTCTCCCTCCCTATACCTCTCCCTCCCTCCCCATACCTCTCCCTCCCTCCCCATACTTCGCCTTCCTTCCCCATACCTCTCTTTCCCTCCCCATACCTCTCCCTCCATCCCCATACCTCTCCCTCCTTCCCCATACCTCTCCCTTCCTCCCCATACCTCTCCATCCCTCCCCATACCTCTCCCTTCCTCCCCATACCTCTCCTTCCCTCCCCATACCTCTCCTTCCTTCCCCATACCTCTCCTCCCCTCCCCATACCTCTCCCTCCTTCCCCATACCTCTCCCTCCTTCCCCATACCTCTCCCTCCTTCCCCATACCTCTCCCTTCCTCCCCATACCTCTCCTTCCCTCCCCATACCTCTCCCTTCCTCCCATACCTCTCCCTCCCTCCCCATACCTCTCCCTCCTTCCCCATACCTCTCCCTCTCTCCCCATACCTCTCCCTTCCTCCCCATACCTCTCCTTCCCTCCCCATACTTCTCCCTCCTTCCCCACACCTCTCCCTCCATCTCTCCCTCAGATAGGAAATTGAGTGTCTTGTTACGCAAGGCTAAGTCCCGCGGGGCGGGAGAGTGCGGGTGGGAGAGTGCGGGGTGGGAGAGTGCGGGGTGGGAGAGTGCGGGGCGGGAGAGTGCGGGGCGGAAGAGTGCGGGGCGGGAGAGTGCGGGGTGGGAGAGTGCGGGGCGGGAGAGTGCGGGAGAGTGCGGGGCGGGCGGGGAGAGTGCGGGGCGGGGTGGGAGAGTGCGGGGCGGGAGAGTGCGGGGTGGGAGAGTGCGGGGCGGGAGAGTGCGGGGCGGGAGGGAGAGTGCGGGGCGGGAGAGTGCGGAGAGTGCGGGGCGGGAGTGCGTGCGGGGTGGGAGAGTGCGGGGTGGGAGAGTGCGGGGTGGGGGGAGTGCGGGTGCGGGGCGGAAGAGTGCGGGGCGGGAGAGTGCGGCGGGAGAGTGCGGGGGTGGGAGAGTGCGGGGTGGGAGAGTGCGGGGCGGGGAGTGCGGGGCGGGAGAGTGCGGGGCGGGAGAGTGCGGGTGGGAGAGTGCGGGGTGGGAGAGTGCGGGGTGGGAGAGTGCGGGGCGGGAGTGCGGGGCGGGAGAGTGCGGGGTGGGAGAGTGCGGGGCGGGAGAGTGCGGGGTGGGAGAGTGCGGGGGGCGGGGTGGGAGAGTGCGGGGCGGGAGAGTGCGGGAGTGGGAGGAGTGCGGGTGGGGAGAGTGCGGGGTGGGAGAGTGCGGGGCGGGAGAGTGCGGGGCGGAGAGAGTGCGGGGTGGGAGAGTGCGGGGCGGGGAGAGTGCGGGGCGGGAGAGTGCGGGGTGGGAGAGTGCGGGGCGGGAGAGTGCGGGGCGGGAGAGTGCGGGGCGGGAGAGTGCGGGGCGGGAGAGTGCGGGGTGGGAGAGTGCGGGGCGGGAGAGTGCGGGGCGGGAGAGTGCGGGGCGGGAGAGTGCGGGGCGGGAGAGTGCGGGGTGGGAGAGTGCGGGGCGGGAGAGTGCGGGGCGGGAGAGTGCGGGGTGGGAGAGTGCGGGGCGGGAGAGTGCGGGGCGGGAGGGAGAGTGCGGGGCGGGAGAGTGCGGGGCGGGAGAGTGCGGGTTGGGACAGTGCGGGGCGGGAGAGTGCGGGGCGGGGAGAGTGCGGGGCGGGAGAGTGCGGGGCGGGAGAGTGCGGGGTCGGGGAGAGTGCGGGGTGGGAGAGTGCGGGGCGGGAGAGTGCGGGGCGGGAGAGTGCGGGGCGGGAGAGTGCGGGGCGGGAGAGTGCGGGTGGCGGGAGAGTGCGGGGCGGGAGAGTGCGGGGCGGGAGAGTGCGGGGCGGGAGAGTGCGGGGTGGGAGAGTGCGGGGCGGGAGAGTGCGGGGCGGGAGAGGCGGAGTGGGAGAGTGCGGGGCGGGAGAGTGCGGGGCGGGAGAGTGCGGGGCGGGAGAGTGCGGGGCGGGAGAGTGCGGGGCGGGAGAGTGCGGGGGGGAGAGTGCGGGGCGGGGAGTGCGGGGCGGGAGAGTGCGGGGCGGGAGAGTGCGGGGCGGGAGAGTGCGGGGCGGGAGAGTGCGGGGCGGGAGAGTGCGGGGCGGGAGAGTGCGGGGTGGGAGAGTGCGGGGCGGGAGAGTGCGGGGCGGGAGAGTGCGGGGCGGGAGAGTGCGGGGCGGGAGAGTGCGGGGCGGGAGAGTGCGGGGCGGGAGAGTGCGGGGTGGGAGAGTGCGGGGCGGGAGAGTGCGGGGCGGGAGAGTGCGGGGCGGGAGAGTGCGGGGTGGGAGAGTGCGGGGCGGGAGAGAGTGCGGGGCGGGAGAGTGCGGGGTGGGAGAGTGCGGGGCGGGAGAGTGCGGGGTGGGAGAGTGCGGGGCGGGAGAGTGCGGGAGAGTGCGGGGCGGGTGGGAGAGTGCGGGGCGGGAGAGTGCGGGGCGGAGAGTGCGGGGCAGGAGAGTGCGGGGCGGGAGAGTGCGGGGTGGGAGAGTGCGGGGCGGGAGAGTGCGGGGCGGGAGAGTGCGGGGCGGGAGAGTGCGGGGTGGGAGAGTGCGGGGCGGGAGAGTGCATGGCGGGAGAGTGCGGGGCGGGAGAGTGCAGGGCGGGAGAGTGCGGGGCGGGAGAGTGCGGGGCGGGAGAGTGCGGGGTGGGAGAGTGCGGGGCGGGAGAGTGCGGGGCGGGAGAGTGCGGGGTGGGAGAATGCGGGGCGGGAGAGTGCGGGGTGGGCGGGAGAGTGCGGGGCGGGAGAGTGCGGGGTGGGAGAGTGCGGGGCGGGAGAGTGCGGGGCGGGAGAGTGCGGGGCGGGAGAGTGCGGGGCGGGAGAGTGCGGGGCGGGAGAGTGCGGGGCGGGAGAGTGCGGGGGGGGAGAGTGCAGGGCGGGAGAGTGCGGGGCGGGAGAGTGCGAGGCGGGAGAGTGAGAGGCGGGGGAGAGTGAGCCACCCCCCCCCCCCCCCTCATCAACCACACTCAGCTTGGCATGAATAGAACAATTAGATATCGCCTCTAATTGTCAAAATGTGTGAGTGATGCGCCCAGGGGAGGGAGAGTGGAGGCGAGTTCCCCTTAGTGCTCAACACCACTACTCCCGCAACACCACTACTCCCGCAAACACCACTACTCCCGCAACACCACTACTCCCGCAACACCACTACTCCCGCAACACCACTACTCCCGCAACACCACTACTCCGCAACACCACTACTCCCGCAACACCACTACTCCCGCAACACCACTACTCCCGCCACACACCACTACTCCCGCAACACCACTACTCCCGCAACACCACTACTCCCGCAACACCACTACTCCCGCAACACCACTACTCCCGCAACACCACTACTCCCGCCACACCACTACTCCCGCAACACCACTACTCCGCAACAACCACTACTCCCGCAACACCACTACTCCCGCCACACCACTACTCCCGCAACACCACTACTCCCGCAACACCACTACTCCCGCCACACCACTACTCCCGCAACACCACTACTCCCGCAACACCACTACTCCCGCAACACCACTACTCCCGCAACACCACTACTCCCGCAACACCACTACTCCCGCAACACCACTACTCCCGCAACACCACTACTCCCGCCACACCACTACTCCCGCAACACCACTACTCCCGCAACACCACTACTCCCGCAACACCACTACTCCCGCAACACCACTACTCCCGCAACACCACTACTCCCGCAACACCACTACTCCCGCAACACCACTACTCCCGCAACACCACTACTCCCGCAACACCACTACTCCCGCAACACCACTACTCCCGCCATAAACAACCACACACACTAACTATTGAACACTACCTGCAAGAATACCTTAACCAAATAATAGTTATATGAAAATCTTTGGAGCAGAACGGGGATCGAACCTGCACCCTGGGTAACCCTAGAGCCACGCCTTAACCATGGACGCAGGTTCGATCCCCGTTCTGATCTAAAGATTTTCTCAGATATATCATGTTATTTCCTGGTATAGGTTAAGTTATGGCCGAATTTGATATTGAAATATCAAGGAGAGATGCCTATTAGCAGGGGTAATTATAGATTCTATAGAGACAGTAAATGGAAAACAAATCTTTAAGTAAAGGGCACACAATATTATAATTGGGACACACCCTCAGCCACCAAGACACGTGATTGCAAACCCTGGGACACACTCTGGGGCACACCCTGGGACACATCCTGGGGCCACACCCTAGGGGCACACCCTGGGGCACATCCTGGGGCCACACCCTGGGACACACCCTGGGACACACCCTGGGGCACACCCTGGGACACATCCTGGGGCCACACCCTGGGGGCACACCCTGGGGCACAACCTGGGACACACATCCTGGGGCACATCCTGTGGGCACACCCTGGGGCACATCCTGGGGCACATCCTGTGGGCACACCCTGGGGCACACCCACACATCCTGGGACACACTGTGGGCACACCCTGGGGCACCTGGGACACACCCTGGGGGACACACCCTGGGACACACCCTGGGGACACACACCCTGGGGACACACCCTGGGACACCTGGGGCACTGGGGCACCCTGGGGCACATCCTGGGGCACACCCTGGGGCACATCCTGGGGCACACCCTGGGGCACACCCTGGGGCACACCCTGGGGCACACCCTGGGGCACACCCTGTGGGCACACCCTGGGGCACATCCTGGGGCACACCCTGGGGCACACCCTGGGACACACCCTGGGGGCACACCCTAGGGGCACACCATCCTGGGGCACACCCTGCACACCCTAGGGGCACACCCTGGGACACACCCTGGACACACCCTGGGGGCACACACCCTGGGACACACCCTGGGACACACCCTGGGGGCACACCTGGGACACATCCTGGGACACACCCTGGGGCACACCCTGGGGCACACCCTGGGACACACCCTGGGACACACCCTGGGGGCACACCTGGGACACACCCTGGGACACACCCTGGGGGCACACCTGGGACACACCCTGGGACACACCCGGGGACACACCCTGGGACACACACACCCTGGGACACACCCTGGGACACACCCTGGGGCACACCCTCCTGGGACACACCCTGGGACACATCCACCCTGGGGCACACACACCCTGGGGACACACCCTGGGACACACCCTGGGACACACCCTGGGGCACACACACCCCTGACACACCCACACACCCTGGGGACACACCCTGGGACAACCCCTGGGACACACCCTGGGGGCACACCCTGGGACACACCCTGGGACACACCCTGGGGGCACACCTGGGGCACACCCTGGGACACACCCTGGGACACACCCTGGGACACACCCTGGGACACACCCTGGGACACACCCTGGGACACACCCCTGGGACACACCCTGGGACACACCCTGGGACACACCCTGGGACACACCCTGGGACACACCCTGGGACACACCCTGGGACACACCCTGGGACACACCCTGGGACACACCCTGGGACACACCCTGGGACACACCCTGGGACACACCCTGGGACACACCCTGGGACACACCCTGGGACACACCCTGGGACACACCCTGGGACACACCCTGGGACACACCCTGGGACACACCCTGGGACACACCCTGGGACACACCCTGGGACACACCCTGGGACACACCCTGGGACACACCCACACACCCTGGGACACACCCTGGACACACCCCTGGGACACACCCTGGGACACACCCTGGGACACACCCTGGGACACACCCTGGGACACACCCTGGGACACCCACCCTGGGACACCCACACACCCTGGGACACACTGGGGACCCTGGGACACACCCTGGGACACACCCTGGGACACACCCTGGGACACACCCACACCCTGGGACACACCCACACCCTGGGACACACCCTGGACACACACCCTGGGACACACCCTGGGACACACCCTGGGACACACCCTGGGACACACCCTGGGGGGACACCCTGGGACACACCCTGGGACACACCCTGGGACACACCCTGGGACACACCCTGGGACACACACCCTGGGGACACACCCTGGGACACACCCTGGGACACACCCTGGGACACACCCTGGGGACACACCCTGGGACACACCCTGGGACACACCCTGGGACACACCCTGGGACACACCCTGGGACACACCCTGGGACACACCCACCCTGGGACACACCCTGGGACACACCCTGGGACACACCCTGGGACACACCCTGGGACACACCCTGGGACACACCCTGGGACACACCCTGGGACACACCCTGGGACACACCCTGGGACACACCCTGGGGGACACTGGGACACCCTGGGACACACCTGGGACACACCCTGGGACACACCCTGGGACACACCCTGGGACACACCCTGGGACACACCCTGGGACACACCCTGGGACACACCCTGGGACACACCCTGGGACACACCCTGGGACACACCCTGGGACACACCCTGGGACACACCCTGGGACACACCCTGGGACACACCCTGGGACACACCCTGGGACACACCCTGGGACACACCCTGGGACACACCCTGGGACACACCCTGGGACACACCCTGGGACACACCCTGGGACACACCCTGGGACACACCCTGGGACACACCCTGGGACACACCCTGGGACACACCCTGGGACACACCCTGGGACACACCCTGGGACACACCCTGGGACACACCCTGGGACACACCCTGGGACACACCCTGGGGACACACCCTGGGACACACCTGGGACACACCCTGGGACACACCCTGGACACACCCTGGGACACACCCTGGACACACCCTGGGACACACCCTGGGACACACCCTGGGACACACCCTGGGACACACCCTGGACACACCCTGGGGACACACCCTGGGACACACCCTGGGACACACCCTGGGACACACCCTGGGACACACCCTGGGGACACACCCTGGGACACACCCTGGGACACACCCTGGGACACCCACCCTGGGACACACCCTGGGACACACCCTGGGACACACCCTGGGACACACCCTGGGACACACCCTGGGACACACCCTAGGACACACCCTGGGACACACCCTGGGACACACCCTGGGACACACCCTGGGACACACCCTGGGACACACCCTGGGACACACCCTGGGACACTCCCTCATGACCACATGTAATGCTGAACAACAGGTGAGGCGCCACACATATACAAACAGACACTCCAGCCATAACATAGATCAAAACATACCTTAACATCACCTGGATAAACCATGTGGGATTTATTACAAAATTTGGTTTAAATTTACGAATGTATTGTGTCTTTCCTTATAATAATTATAATAATAATTTTATTCATAAAATATTTGGATATTAAATAAAGCAACTAACACACAAAGTGTTCCGGTATAACTAACAATTATTTCCTCTAATTATTCATCCAGTTGCTCTCAGCTACAGTGAACCTCTATTATTACAACCTCTTGAAGGTAGTAACTTCTCACTAACGAACAAATTACCTGCATACTGTCTTTTTCAAACTTTTGACAGCTTCTGTTATTGGCATGCATCACCACCTCAACACCCAGGGCCCCTTCTACATCACCAGCCAGCACCACCACCAACACCGTCAACACC